TTTGAATGCGTAATGGATCAAAGCCAAGCAACAGTAAATGTGCCGCGTTTTATTGTCAGCGAGGTAGCTGATTTATGTGCAGCGCTGCAGTTTGAAAAAGTTTATGGTGTGTTGCATATAAGTAGGCGTATACATTGTCTACAGCTCACATCTGCCTTGGCATATGCAATACTCCAACTGGTGGACTGCACACCGAAAAATAAGGACGATTTTATTGGCTTGGCATTGGAGTTACTAACGCAGCAGATTTTGGCGTTACGCAACATCAAAGGTAAGGAGTTCATTTTAGCCAGGGTAAGAGGCGAACAAGTAATATGTATAATGAATTAAGACAGCATCTACAATATAAGCAAATAAGACATCTGATAGAATAGCAAGAGAGGCAAAATTCTTAAAAGCATATTTATAAAATTTGTGTTATTAGTACAGGATAGATATTTAAGAGTGATTATATTTGGCATTAATTTGTAACCGAACATCCATGTGTATTAATGTTTTTCACTTTTAACTTTAAACAGCTCCAACTTCTCACAATGCTCTAGACAAAGATATCGATGTACTTACATTTCCTCTAGTATATGAATTACTGCTAAAGGCCTACCTACGGGAGGAACAAAAGTCAAGTCAGTTGTCCGAACTATTGAAGTATGTGCAATTAGCTGTTAGCAGCTATCCTGTTGATGCATTAGAAAGCTACTATGTCGGTAAAGAGCGTGAGGTCAATGAGAACATTTGCAGGGCATTGGATGTTGCGGAGATTACGCTAGCTGATACGACGCTTAATTTCTCAGCTGCGCAAGTGAATTGCTCATTCAATGTCAAGCCGGCTGCACCAGTCAAGAGCCGCTACTCTGTGTCAATATTTGATCAAATCGAAGTGCAGCCAGAACAGCCGCGTACGAAGGTAATGTATCGTAAAGTAATTACTACTTATTCATAATTCTTACATTATTTTTCTTTTATTCCGCCTGTAGAGAAATAGTGTGGAGCAAACTTCGATTATGAAATTTGTGGCACGGAGCATTTTATTACTGTTAGTAGAAACTACGCCCACTAACAGCATACTTCTACAATTACGCACAATGTTAAATGACGAAATAGAAAAGGATGCAGCTGTCGAAGATTTCTTTTTATCGTTGGAGCAGCTAATCAAAGCGAAAATGCATGACGTTTGGTACATTATGGTGCAGTACATTTTGGAATATCAAGAACGTTATGAATGTAATATTATCAGCACAGATTTTGTGTCGCTACACTTGACGCGCGTCTTTCGCAATGTGATGTTAAATAAGGATGTTAACTTTATTGGTATGAAGGCATACATGTTCGTGTGTTGTTGTATGCATTTATGGTTACTAATATCACTCGTGTTTTCATATAATGATAGATCTCTTCAATATGCTCATCGCGGATAAAAATAAAGAATCTTTGCTGAAACTGCTGAGCAATGATTTGAAAACCGATCAACAACGCATTAATTTGCTAACACTTTGTGAAATGTATAACGTACATCTGGAAGGTCATAGTCAAGTGGAGGCAATACGCAACAAGTAAAGCGAAAAAATTCTTACTTAATTTAGTAGAAATAAATATTTTTCAAACCTTTCGACCTCCTTTTTTTATATAGGCGTTTAAAACAATTCTACTATATGGAGTTTTGCAAGCAAGATCCCAGCATAAAGGGGAAATTCAATGTGGACACCGATAATATACAGCAATTGTTAAGATTATTCCATAATAAGAAATTGGACGTGAAATTATTGGAGCGTATGAGTAATGACTTCAATTTGGATTATCAGCAAATGCTTATAACGCAGGTAAGAAGGGGATAAAATGTATAATAACTAAAACTAAATCACACTAGAAAAAAAACATTGCAGGTAATAAGCATATTGCTTGGTCAGGAACTTAAGTATGAAATAAAGACTGATACCTTCGGTGAGGAAGAATTGGTAGTATTAAGCACTGTCAGCGGTATACGTAATCTATGCCAACCATATTTGCATTCAATAAAAGATGCCGATTCGATGGCATCGAAATTAATACAATTCTTCAAAGAGGTACATATATATGCACATACATGTTTTTAAGAGATTTACTCATATTTTAACTACATTTTTCCGGTTTTTTAATCGCCAGATAAACATCTATTTCTATGAGTTGTATTTGTATGTCATTGAAATGCTTTCATTTTTCGACAAAATGCCCAAGGAAATGCAAATTTGGACAAGTATGTTGCATTTTCTGAAACACAAAATGATAAAGCGTCGTCGCAATCGTCCTGGCCAACTGGAAACCGATATGTGGTTGCAATCGCAAAGTGAAATGGGTGTGATGCCGAAAATTTCACGCTTTCGCCTACCATTCAAGCCGATTGTAGAGCAACCATTAAAAGATATTTTAGGTGAGCCAATTACAAATTATATTATTGTTGTTTTTAAGCACTAAGTAGGCGTTCTAAAATTAAAATAAAGAGCATTATGACTTTCTCCATGAATCATAAATTTTTAGTCTATAGTGCACGTCAGATAGAGTAAAACTTATTCCGCATAAAGTACGCTTTTAAATTAGATACAAATATAACTAACGCCGGAAAGATTATTTATCATAAATTTTCTTAATGTTTATTATTATCACTCCCAGATAACGAGCTTAGTGTCGATAATTGCGAAAGTTGGTTTCCTCTCATGCAAATGCACACTGTACTTAAGGGCTCAAGTGATGTACCAAAAGTGCGCGACTACTTATGCATGTCTGCCGTGAAGAACTCTATTGCCGAATACAAAGCGAAAAACGAATCCGAAATATGGCATCTACAACCCACAAATAATGCCTTCCTACAATCGGTATGTAACAGACTCAATATTGTACTCCTTTTTTTTTTTTTTTTGAAATTTTATGAAATCCTCTTTGACAATCCAATAGATACTGCGTCTTGTCAAGCATGTCACTAATCCATCTAAAACATTTATGATACTCTATTTTGTTGCAAACTATGCACCTGATGGGGCGGATCAAGTGGAAGCTTCCTATGAATGCTACAAATATGCGCTGGCGCATGAGGAACCCATAACGAATGAAAAGTGTCAGGATCAATTGGTTAAAATTAAGCGTAAATACCCTATAATTAAAACGCAGCACTTGCTTTACATTTATGGACTCACCGATGACAAACTTTTGCGACTGGTTGAGAATCCAACTGAACTTATTTATAGCCTTTACCACCATGAGCTGATTTTGAAATCAAGCAAATTGGATATTAATACAGTTGCGAAAGAAATCGCCGAACTGCATGGCTTAGACTTGCAAGCAATACAGTTTCAGTTATTGCAAAAGTGGTTGGCTTTCACAGTCGATGCCGGTAGTGCGAATATACTTGAGGAGACATTCTTCGAAGATCACAATTTAGTGGAAGAGGAGCAAACGAATGCGGGTAATGCGGCGGAGAATGTTATAAGGTGGGAACGATTTGTTAAGTTAGTTTGTAGCGAAAATTTCAAACAAAATATTCGTATATTTTTTCAGAGCCAATTATATACTCAACAGTTGGCCTAAGAAGCAAGCTATAGAATTTTTAGTAGCGCACATTTTTCCTGCTGATGGGTAAGAATTGATCCACTAATAGTTTATATTAATACTGTTCGTATTTACCTTTTTTTTTTGTAATGAACGTAGAAGTGTAAATACCAGCAAACAGCTACAAATGTATGAATGCTTCTCAAAGTTAAACGATGGCAGCGAGTCCTTTAAGAACGTACTCAGCCAAAAGCAATACATAACGATTAAATGCGTACATGAGTTAAAGCAGTTGGGTTATAATTCGAGTTTGGAAAAGTTCACAAACTGCAATAAAATCGACATATTGAAAACAATTTGGCAACGCAATGCTCAAAATCCGCATACACTTGAGATATTAGCAAATATTTGTCTTGGTTTCGACATATTTTTTTCGAAAATTTGGAACGGTATATTGAAGCGCATGGCAATGTTCCATATGGTGCGTGAATTGGATGCCCTAGTGGATGTGCTGTCGTGTGAACCCAAGTTGTTACATACAGAAGGTTTAGTAGTGGCGTGGGAATGTGTGTTGTGGCAGCCCTTCAAAACAGCTAATCAAACGAGATCATTTGCGCAGGAGGAATTATTGCAAAAGACTCTATTTCGCTTACAGGTGAGTACTGGAGAATATTTGTAACATTTTTATGCGTAATGCATTTTGTTTTGAAATTTTAGAGCTGTCCAATAGTGCATAAGTTAAATTTATTTGATTTTGCTGAGCTCTGCATTAATCTGGAGCGACCTCACATGGCGGCTGTGGCGATGGCTTTGTGTCGAGATGTCGGAAAACGTGATCAAATCAAAAAAGTGGGTTTGTTAAGTTTTTATTGTGAAATACATATTTGAATTGTTTATTTTTATATTCACGCTCAGCTTATTTTGCCGCGAAAAAGTGAACAAATGCGGAAAGATCTTATCGAACTGGAAGATGCGGGACTGCTTTCGGTAGTTCTGAATTTTGCGCAAAAGGAACTGCATTTTTAGGGCTATAGTATTAGCATATTACAGATTTGTAATATAATAGAATTGTGCAGTAATTATTTATTAATAAAAGTTTTTCTTTAAAATTTAAAAATTAATTATTACGTCCAGCAGTGCAATTCCGAGAATCGTTACGCTAAATTATCGTCGCCAAAGTTCTCTATCAGGTATATTGTGCACGTTACCGAAGATTTTGTAACCGGAAAATTTTATTACCAAAAAATGTTACCAGTGCCAGAGAACGTTTATAAACGTTTATAAATGTTCTCTGCCAGTGCTTGTCACCGCGATGCTGGGAACGTTGGTAATGCAGTTAATATATTCTGCAATTCAGCTATGAATTGTGGAAATTCTGGCATTAGATATTTCACGGGTCAATATTTTCATGATAAAAACATAGCAAGGTAGGACCATTCTCTCAATTTGTCGGCCATGATTTTTTTTTTTGAAGTTTGCCAACATTTTAAGATCATATAAAATTGAAAATAAAAAATTGAAATTGTTCGAAATTGTTGTTGCTTGAGATTGAAAATGAAAATCTGTGTGTGAGTTTGTGAGTAAATTTAAAAATTAAATTGTTTGGAAACGTCAAGAATTTTAAAAGTGACTCTCAGCGGTTCTACCTTACTATATTTTTATCATGAATATTTTGTTACCAGCTTATGGTAACAAAATTTACTGGTTACAAGAGTACACAGAAATTCTGTGACAGAATGCGAAAAGGGTTTAAAACTTTACAGGAACTTTATTACCGGTAACAATTTTTATTACCAGCGCAGAATTGACCTGTAAATAACAAGCAGCTAAAGGTATGCAACATGAAAAAGTAACAAATTAGGGCCATGTTGCATGTTGTTAGGCGCGCCTGCTATTCCTTTAGAGATTTTTGGCGATCAAAATTAGCGATAGCGAACATTTGAATTCGGCTGCCGAAATTGTTTGAATTTTTTTTTTTCAAAATCCTCGCGCTCCGATAACGCAAATGAAAAAACTTCAACAGCTTTTGCGACACCTGCTGTATTTAAAGTAAACCTACGGCCTATTGATAATCAACCCATAAAGTTTTTCTTTAAAACTCGAATCATTGCGTCCAGAAGTCGTTAAACATTTGTGGTCCTGTTACAACAAATTCTTTTTGATCTTTGAGAACTTGAAAGTCCAGAAAAAAGTTACTTTTCTGAATTCTCGTTAAATATTTTTGTCATGGTTACGACAGAGAACGTATAGGAATATACGGTCTCTGGTTACGATAACGCAAATAAAAAACCTTCAAAGCTCTTGCGACATCTACTGTATTTATAGTAAAACCTTCTGGCCTATTGTGAAAACCCAAGGATCAAAAAGAAGAAGAGTGCACAAATCAGCTGTCCAAAAAAGTAAACAAGCGGTTTGGAAAGTGCATTTTTCGTAAAATAAACAAAAATATTTTCTTTTCTCACCCATTACCAATGTGAAGAAATTATTTAACAGTAATAGCCACATCCATCAAAATGGATCGTTGTCCCGGCCAATATTGTGGTCGCAGCATGTACGATAATGGAAGCTGGTCCGATTGTGGAGCATGTGAGCGTGGCTACCGGGTAAATGAGTCCTTCATTTGTGCACCATGCCGTGATGAATTGAACACCTACTCTTGGCTGTATTTAGGATTTATGGCAATGTTGCCACTAATGTTGCACTGCTTCTTTATCGATCTACATGCGAAGGATCGCAAGTAAGCGAATTTACAAAATAGCTGTGTACATATAAAGAAAATTTATTATTTTTTTTTTAGATTTTCACGCAAGCAATTGATACTTACCGCCTGCGCTTTTATTGAGATATCACTTTCTGCTACGCTTTCCATTTTGGTTATGGAACCGATGTGGGAATTCCGCTTGCATTCTTGTGGAGTGCGTAATTTCACCGATTGGTATACGCTATTTTACAACCCCAGTCCAAACTATGAGACACGTTTGCATTGTACACAAGAAGCAGTATACCCGCTGTAAGTATTTTATGGTCGCATTAGGAAA